GGGGGGGTGTACTATTCGTAGCTGTCTAACTTAAAATGCTGTCTTTCCATTGAAATTGAGAAGTAAAAGTTCGTGTTGAAAAAAGCGTATGATTTTTAGGTCACTTCAGCTGAAAAGTTGATGTTTTAAGAGCTTATCTTGTGGTGGAAACCTTCTATGAGCTCTCCCAGATATCTGCTTGATGTAAAAAACAGAGTGGAGGTCGTCTTTGTGCCTTTTAGTTTCTAGTGTGTGGTGCTTTTGCTTGCACCAATTCGAGTTCCTACGTACCTTAAGTGAATTAAGGCCCCCTTCAGTGAATTAAGTCTGTCTCTTGCTTAACCTGGGGGCCAAAGGAATGCCAGGAGATCCTTGCATGTTATCTTTTTCAAGGATTTTATGCTGGTTTCATCCCTCTCCTTTCTCTGTGCTTTTGCCTTCATATTCCTGGAGGCTAAGTGTTCAAGTATATCTTGTATGTTGGCACATTCGGTTTATTCTGAAGCTTTTTAGAAGCTCAACTTATAATCATGTCTAGGCTTTGTTGTGTATCCTTACCTGTCAATAGGGCGCCTCACAATTTTCATTCTCAAATCACGACCATTATTTTCTTGTTTATTGACTCATTCCAGTTTTAGTGAAGCTTTGTAGAAGCTCAAGTTAGAGATATATCTCGGTTTTGTTGCCTGCATGTTTGCATGTCAATAGTACTCTCACAACTTTTATTCTCAAAATATCGTAAATCATTTTTTTTGTTTAGCCTGTTACCCTTCCTTTTCCTTCTTACTTATCAGAGAATGATCCATTCCTTTTCCTTCAAATTTGAAGGTTCAGCCAAACAACCTTGATACTTCTAATGACACGCCATCTGAAACGAGAAGACCTGCTGTGATGGAAACTTTGTCAACGGAGGAGATGCAAGAACGAATGGACCAGTTTGCTTACATCATGCAGCAAAAGTTTTTATTGGGAGAAGATAGTCTGGATTACTCAAAAATTGACGGGGATGAGACCTTGGATGATCATTGGATGAAAGAAGAAAATTATGATGCTGAAGAAAAGTACTTTGATGATGATGATTGAGCTTAAATACTGACATGACGCAGGGTGTGATTTTTGTTTTTGACATTACAAGTTTCTACCATGTATATGTTGTTAGCCTTTTATGCAGATATGCTTAGGTTTTGTGGCTGAAGACAGTTTTAGGGTTGTGGATGGCTAAGATTTGGTTCTTGGAGTTGCTTCCGAGCCATCTTCTTGTGTTAACCTTACAGTTACTTGATTTCTGGGAGTAGCTAGCAAGTTTATACTACAATTCAAGCCTGTCAAAAAAAAATTATATTACAATTCAGCAGCCACACTAGAGTGAAAGAGACATTGAAATGCTAACTTAGCAGCCACACAAGAGAAGGATAGAGATTCTTGTCCAGATAAGTGACATTGTGCTCAAGTCGCAGAACTCGGAATTACTTTAATAGGAAGGAATCTATGCCAATTGATAAAGTAGAAAACTTAGGGATTTTGAGAAGCTTCCTTGTTTGGATTGATTTTATTGGTCTCTGTACAATAACTGACTTTATTGGACATATTTGTTGTTTGGGAGTAGGGACTCTACATGTTGATTTAGAGTGAGTGGCTGCTACTCCAATTCCATATAAAGATTTAAACATCTTTTATCTTCTTATGCCTACAATTACCTTTAACAAGAGGTATTAATTTGAAAATTTTGGAGCTCTCATATCAAGTTCTACAGTTAATATCTTTTTATCTGCCTAAGTGTTGGCATGGACGCATGATTATTAAATCAACTTTAATCACTAGTGTTCTCTTATTCATCAAAGAAATAAAATAGAAAGACAACCAATTTAATCCCTGAAACTACAACAATAGGTTACAATTTTACCAAATTGACATGCACAAAGATACTCAAAATACTACAGTCCCTTGTGAAGTCAGCAGTGACAAAAATACACGTATACAATCGCACCAAAGATAAAATCTCCAAGCGACAATACACTAGCATTAACCATCCGAAAAAATCGTCTAAGCAAAGCTAAGCCCTTACCGCCGGTATATTATCACCTTCTCCGGTCACAATTCCCTCATTTTCTCTCTCCAAAAATCACCGATAAGCATAAATTAGAGAGAGAAATGGGATAACACTTTCCCTTCATCAAAAAGCCCAATTTCTCTCTCCTCGTTCGTTTTCTCCGACACCGAAACCCTAGGATTCGAGTGATTTCAAGTGTTGTGAAAGCTGAGGAGAGAGAGAGATGTACAAAGAAAGGAGAGGTGGCGGTGGATCGAAGGCGGAGATGGGACATGTAGTAGGTGATAGGAAGAGATTAAATGAAGCGTTGGATAAGCACTTAGAGCGGTCCTCTCCCTCTACCTCCGCTACTACTGTTAGGTGTGCTAACGGCAAGGATAATCGCTTTTCCATTTCCAAATCAAAGGACCAGCTCAGGAACTCTGCTGCTCCTCCTCCTGATAATAAGTGCTCTGATGGTATATATACACACACAGACACACACTATACTCCTTCCATTCCTATTTTATACTAATGGTAATTGACTTGCACAGAGTTTAAAATGCTAATTTAACTCATACACACACAAACACACATGTATGCACGTATTTTTTTAGATAGTATTAGTGCTAGTGGAAAAATATATAATTTTCTCTTGAAAATGGAAGAACAATATTAGAGTGATAGTTGAAAAGTTCAATAGGGAAAATATCACGACAAATTTTTAACATTTGGATATTAAGGAATTTGAATTCTTGAAAGTTGTGAAAGTTTGGATGGAAATGGAGTAATGTTAAACATTCTAGACATCTCAAAATGGAATTGAAACATCGTTATATAGTTGGAACAAAGTCTTGTGTGCACCTCGACTAATTCCATTGCATATCTGCTACTTTCCACCAGCACAAGTGCCGCGTAACTGTACCCACTAACAGCTTGTTTGGATGGTTGTTATTTGTTGTATTGTATCGTATTATTACTTTAAATACAATGTTTGTTTTGATTGTTACTTAAATCTTATTGTATCGTATCGTTAAATCCGTAGTTACGTAACAATGAAAAGTGACACTTTATGGATCGACCGATTTGGTGTGGTCGCGTCGTTACCTTATTTTGTTCTCTCATCTTATCCTTATTATTAAATAATTTTATTTTATCTTTTACCCTACCTATTTATATAATAGTTCTATTTCGTACCTTATTTTTTCTTAATAATATTGCAAGTTCATTCTTCATATTATTGCTTCATGCCATCATGAAACGACGACAAATAATACAATATATCCAAACATTGTATACATAAAAAAGATACAATACAATACAATATAAGATTATACGACATTGTGAAAGGATACATAACTACCATCCAAACAAGCTGTAAGGCTTGGGCATATAGGAAGAGATCACATAGTGTTTTTTGTCTTCACTGAGATTTGAACATGAGGCCTCATGGTTCTCCCCAACTTTATTAACAACCAGGCCACACCCTTGGTTGCGGTTGTTGCTACCTTTCTTTTTTCAATGTGTGATGCTTGTTGGTCCTAGTGCACAATTTGAAATTTAGTTTTATGGTTAGAGATTTCAACTGGAAAGAGTATTGATAATTAGAATCACATTTTTAAGGCATGATGTAAAGTTGAGGAGTTTACAAGTGTTAAGCTTTTTCTGCATTGGGGTACTGATGAAGACTGGCGATATTAAAGCTTCATGTGGCAGTATGTTGATTCTGGTGCTAGTCTTGTTGTTATTATAACTTCAGGGTAATACATGTCTTTTTAATCTTTTAAGGTCTGAACTCTCTGAATGACAAGAAAATAAAAAGGTGAGAGTTGATTGCAATGGCATAAGTTTTTTTGGAGTTCAATTGGTAGAAGCATTAATTCACCTGTGTGGTCTGAACTCTCCTAAACCTTCATGTTAAAGTTTGTGCTTGTGTTTCCGTTTTACAGCAGAATCTGAAACAGACAGTGAGGCGTCAGATATTAGTGGTTCTGAAGGAGAAGACACTTCATGGATCTCATGGTACTGCGGCCTACGTGGGAATGAGTTCTTCTGTGAAGTTGATGATGATTACATCCAAGATGACTTTAACCTGTGTGGTCTAAGCAGCCTTGTTCCGTATTATGACTACGCACTTGATCTGATTCTAGATGTCGAATCTTCTCACGGTGAGTTTTATGTTTTCAGATTGGAGCACTTCTTTCTGCTATATACGAAAATTTGCACGTCCGAATGCACTCTAAAGTTTCTTTTGCTGTCATGATTGTCCTTTAATTGATTGGCCTGATTCGTTTCTCCTCTGTTCTCTTAGTTAGCATTTGTAGTTAATGAAAATTAGACAGACCATATTACTAATGGTTTGGCATTTAGAGAGATTTGTTTACCGTTATGGATCCAATAATTATGTTAGCTGATCCCTATCAAAAGAATAATTATGTTAGCTGATATTTGATACTCTCTCAGGTGGAATGTCTTAATAATCTGTCTTATGTGCATGTATTATAACCTGCATTTGATAAGATGATTGTTGAATTAGTTTGCCATGTGTATTATTCTTGCTGTATTAGTATGCATCAGGTCGGGCTCTTATGCGTTGCTAGTTTGAAGGAAATCATGTCTTCTACTTGAGAGTATTAAACGACACAAGAGGAACAGAATCTGCATTTAAATTCTCTGAGAAGTAAATGTTGCATTGGTGACTGGTCAAATAAAAATAGCTCCCGAGCATGATGTACTGAAAATGAAGACTGGTTTGCTGAGTTAGCTTCCAATATAGTTTTGTAATCTAGTGATAAACTTGCCAAATGAACTAACCTACAGTTGAAGAAACATAACATTGGTTTCTTCAATAAGAATTTGTTGAAAGTAAACATCTATTTTGGATATGACGTGCTGTTTAGAGTGGACTTTGTGATTGGTATTTTTCTTGTATCTTAGAGGAGACCTTTGGCCTTCTATAGTTACAACTACTGTAAATTTGAAGATTTTTCTTTATATAAGATTGTACTAGCAACTTGATGTGAGAAGCATTTCCCCATGCCATAATAGAAGTCATGTTTACACCAATAGGATTTAAAAACGGAAAAGGGTCAAATATACCCCTTTACTATTAAATATTGTTCAATCCTATCCCCCGTTATACTATTCGTTTGTATTTACCCTTACCGTCAATCAAAGTTTTTTAATATACCCCTAATTTAAAGTTCTATTCATAATAGAAGATGCAACGTGTTTGGTAGATGTCCAAGAGTTTACTGCTGTGGACAACCATGCCTCCCTGTTGGTCAGTCAGACATTCCTCGACAAAGCAGGGTGAATATATACTGCCCTCGATGTGAAGATGTGTATACACCTCGGTCAAGATATCATGAGAGTATCCTTTTTGTTCAACTCTGTTATTACTTAATGCAACATACTTTAGTGCAAACAATATGTTGAAATAGTAGATTTAGTAGATTACGTTCTTTCTCCGGGTATGAATTTTTCCCTTTTGGAAGGCCCCTGTTGTGGCAATTCAACAATAGTTACTATAACTAATAAGAAGCATAGTAAAGTTAGTGTAGAATAATAGAATCTCTTATTAGCTTATGAAGGAAGGAAGGAAATGTAGCTTTGAAAGCAGCAAGGAGGCATTAGGGGAAACCTAGATTCAAGGTCGGAGAATCGGAAACAGACTCGAAAACGGAACCCTGTCTCTAGCGGTCTCTTGGGTTCTTTCTTTACAATCAGTCCAGGCCAGTAGCTGCTCCTGGCTTCCGGACGGCTAGAGCCCTGACAGATAGAGCGAAGGGTCCATAAGGAGAGGACCCAAGGCTTGTCGTAAATAAGAGTTGTATACGATAAGTTTGTAGTCTTTCTTATTCGCGAGAATTTCTTCTCTCTGGTCGTGTCTCCTCACTAAGTGGCTGCACACACCTGTCTTAAAGATAGAGTCAAGCAGGAGACAGGTATTTACTTGTTCTTTTTCTGACATGTGTAAACGAACTTGACCTGTGTGGTTTAAAAGGAAGTGAAAGACTCCACTAATGTGGTAGGACTTGTAGATCTCACCTACCCCGGGAAAATTAAGTTATTGGCATATTCCATTATTCTCTCCTTATTTGTTTCCCGGCATCTAGTTCCTTTTTCTTAATAAGTCTGTCATTTTCTGTTTTACTAATTTGAAAGCGCAGTAGAATCATGTCCTGTATCTCCCTAGCTTGAATTGGGCTTGCAGCTTTCATCTCATGGTGAAAGTTGTGAGGATATAAGTGTTCCGGGAAATTTGGGATGTTAAATCCACCTTAGAGTTAGCAGCCAGCATTTTTAGTCATGTTAGCTTTTATGGAGTCTCTTAGTCCCATCAGGGGTTTATATACACTAGAAAATATAGAGAACTTTTATGTTTTTTTTAAAAATATTTTGTATACTATTGACCTAAGATGAGCTTAAATGGAATCACATATCAGTGAGGATTCTTATAGCTTACCCCAACTTGACACATTTGAAGAGGGAATCAATCTGTAAACACTGTTGAATCTATCGACACATTTGGACATTTACTACCAAGTAATGCAGTGATGATATTTCGTTCTCTTTTCCATTTTAGCATCTATAACAATGTTGCTTAAGCATTTCCTTTACTGTGCCAAAGACATTGATGGAGCTTATTTAGGAACCACGTTCCCGCACCTATTCTTGATGACTTATGGACACCTCAAGCCACAGAAGATTTCTCAGAGCTATGTTCCCAGAGTGTTTGGTTTCAAGGTCCACAAGCCGTGATCCTGGTAGTGACCTACTGGCAATTGTATCCTTATTAATGTGCTAGGAGAGGTAATACTTTTAATAGCACATCTAGAATTGTTAAGGTTCTGTTGTAGGTTCTCTATTTTCATATAGGCTTTCGAAGATACTGTAACAAGTTAACTTGAGCTACTTATGTATGGAGTTACTTTCTGTGCTACAATTTGTGCCTTTTCCCTGTGAGAATCTCTCAGACTGCATTACATACTTTTTTGTTGCCTGAGTTTTATGTCAATGTACAACCATGCATCATAATTTCCATTTTTCACAGATATTTCGTACATGGCATGTACGATGGACCTCTTTCAGCCTATGGTTTCACCTTTAGTCTGTGATTTTTGTCAAAAGGAGTCCGTCAAATATAGTTTTCATCACTATCACACTGCGCTCTTGAATAGTTGTTATGATGTGTCTATAAAAGCCTTTTCTTTGATTTTCCTCGACTTCTGATTTACATTATTTTACAGGGTGAAAGGGGGTCTTGTGCAAATAGTAATTTTTCATATTGTGGCCGAGTCAGTCATAAAAACTGCAGCCTCAAGGACTTTGGTTTAATGGCAAATGTATAACAGTGGCAGGATGTGCGGTAGGTGCACATCGCAATTTGAAGGCCGACCTCACTGTTACGCTGAGTTTGGTACTTAAATAGAGAAGGGTAGAGGGGAAACTCATTGTCCATTAATCTTAAAAGCTTAAAATAAAGGCTGAATACATGAGGAGACCCTTAAACTTGTCCAAATTTTTCATATAGACACTTGAACTATGCCTTGTTCCTATTGAACATTTAATCCAACCTCAAGTGTACCTATTACACCCAATTCAGTAACATGGAACTGTGCGTGTAAGACACATTCTTTAAGAGCGTGAGAGGCCATATTTTCTTTTTAATTTTTTTTTTTTTTTTTTTTTTTTTTTTTTTTTTTTTTTTTTTTTTTTTTTTTTTTTTTACGTTCTCCTTCCTCCTATCTCTCCCCTCCTAGATCTCCACCACCATATACCACCACCCTCCGCCATACTTCTGTCTTGCCGCGACATACCTCCTCTTCTCCTTGCCCGTTTGATCTCCGTCACTCCCACCACTTTTACCACCACATTCATTCGTTTCCTTTCCTCTTTTCTCTGTTCATACCATCACTGCCGCTGCCACCAACCAGAGGCAGATCCAGGATTTGAAAGTTGCGGGTGCCACCATGTTATGCATACAGTATACATGTCAGTAGTTACAAAGACAGATTAAGAATAATGGGTCGGTTCGGTTAGTTTTTGGTTAATTTAAATAGGCCTTTCATTTACAAATCAAATAAGTTCGATTTTAGTTCGAATTTTTAACACTTAATTTAAACACATTCTAAATAAAAATGCAAAAGAAAAATATCATTTCATGAAAGAGCGCATTCAATATAAATATTTACTTAAAGAGTAGCTTAACTATATTATATATTCTTTGTTTGACTAGATTAATTTACTTGTATTGTTCTTTGTTTATTTTTTCATCTTAATTTTTGAGTTATATGACAATTATTTTCAAAGAAAAACCTTCAACATTCAACATATAATATTCGACTCAAAACGACTATCAATCAAGCCATTTAATTTTTTTTCAAAACCCAATAGAAAATATTGCTCAAATTATATTCCAATATATAAATTAATATCGTTTCATTAAAAATAAAGAAATTATATGCTAATTAAAATCAATTCAAATTACCTATAGAAAATAATTGTTCATAAAGTAAGGTATAATGATAGAACCAAAATGAGGACTGAAAATTAAAAAAAATGAAGAAGAGAGAGGGAAAGAACCGAAAAAGAAGGAAAAGAGGCTTACCCGAAAATAAAAGAAATTTTAACAAGTAGAAAAAATAAAAAATAAAAGGAGCTGCTCCAACAGAAATCTCGAACTTGCATGAGGCCAAGAAAAGTCTTCAAAAGGAAAGCTGAACATTAGGCCGTAGATCCGCTCCTGCCCCAACCGCACTTTAATTTAGAGAAATGCTGAAGGTTGGAAGTTTTTTAGACAATGCTAATGACACACTGAATGAATTTAAATGCAGTACGTTGAAAATGAATTCCAAACATACCGTGAATGTTTAGCTATCAACATTAAAGGGATGCCATTTCAACAATCCTAAACCACCATTCTTTTGGAGAAATCCAAACACCATTTGAATATAAGCTCCTTCTTCTACCTCCAGTTTCGCTCCTCCAACAATCACTATCCCTGCTGCTTCACCGCCACCAGTTAGCTCTCCACCACCGACTCCGTGGCCGGCTGCTGCCATGGAACCCCCAGAAATTTACAACCTTCCACCATCGTATTGTCTTTAATATGTTTCTCGACGTAAAGAGGAAGAACGAAGAAGACAGGCTAAAGTGTTTCCACCGCCGGCCACCATCGGTCAATGCCTTCTTTTTTATTTTTGACCGTTTTCCTTTCTTCGTTGATGTGTCAATGTTTCATTGGTTTGATCTGCCATGTTATTGGCAAGTGATATTCACTCACTCTAGTTTATTTAGAGTTGTCAAATTTGTGTTCAATTGGTACATTTTTCATAGAGATTAAGTGTTTAATAGGAATAAGGCTTAGCTTGGGTGTCCAAGTGAAAATTTTGGACAAGTTTAAGGGGCCATGTATGTATTCAGCCTAAAATAAAGGTAAAAATATAATTCGCCTAACCAATTGATGCAAATTCTTTTCTTTTGCATACTAGTAAAGCTAAATTAACTTACAACAACAACAACCCAGTATAATTTCATTAGTGAGGTCTGAGAAGGGTAGTGTGTACGCAGACCTTACCCCTACCCTGGGGTAGAGAGGCTGTTTCCGATAGACTGTCGGCTCCCTCCCTCCAATAACTACTCATCTTGTTCTTGGATAACTCGAACTCACAATCTCTTGATTGAAAGTGGAGGGTGCTCACCATGTAGCAACCCACTCTTGACCAAAGCTAATTAACTTATGGTTCATGTTTAACACGTAAAAAGCCTTTTCGCTCAAACCAAACAAGTCAAAAAGAAGAAATTCAATATGCAAGTGACGTTGGCTTTCTTTGTAGATCAGTGCACATTTTGTGGTTATCATCTTAGAAACTGGATGATATTGGTCCAAATTGGATATTATTATAACTTTTTTTAATTCGTCTTACTCTACGGCCTAAGTAACTCGGAGTCATTAAATGTCAATCACCTGAACTTGGATGATCAAGAATTTATGATGTTAAATCTTGACATAAGTTTTATATCTCCATTCATGTGGTTGACTTTACCATGCTAGTAAACTCACATTCCAGTAAAGAATCAGCGCATCAAATTTCAAGCTACAGCCTGTTTTATTATAAAGGCTGTTGCCCAGTAAGTGTGTTCATATTCGGTTTGAATCGATTTTTTCCTAAAAAAAATTAAAAAAAAAGCAGACCAAGTAAGTCAGTTTTTCAAATATTGGAACTTAATCAAACCAATTAAGTCAGTTTTTTATCAATTCGATTTATGTAGATTTTTCGATTTTTTATCGATTGTTTTTCTTATATATGACACACATTACCAAACACATATTCCGGCTACTATATTTTAAACGTAATACTATCAAACCAATTGCTCTTTAAAAAATTCATTATTTACCAAAATATATTGATAATAATTGAATCAAATAGTGATAAATAATTTAAGGACTCAACTAAAAATAAATTATTTTCAATAGAAAATTTATTCTTGTACTTAGCAAAGAAAACTACCAATCAAACTAGAATTTAAAAGCAAAGAACTAGATTACTATAATAGCAATCAACATGCACCACAAAATTTTAGAAACCTTGAATAAAATAATATATATATATAGGTGTAATAATAAATTCTAAATAGCTACTTCTAAAGTCGGTTTGGTTCGATTTTTTCAGTTATTTTTTTTATCAAAACCAAAACCAAACCAAATTTAATTGATTTTTAAAATTCAAAACTAAAACCAAACCAAACCGAAAGAGTAATTTGATCGGTTTGGTTCGATTTTTCAAGTTTTTATCAACACCCCTATACTGCCTACCAGTGAATGTAACACAAACCGGTTACCAAGTTGACCATATTTAATGCATCCAGATAACTCTAAACTTGAGTGCAACGAGAGGCAATAATGATAGCAATCATCTCGGATTAAACTAGGTTTTCCCTACAATAGACTGAGCTGGTTCACAACCATCAAAATTTCACGAGGAAAAACAACACTGATCTTGAAACACGAACGTTGCCATAAAAGATAAAACGTGCTCAACTCTCAGTCTGCTCCCTCAGTCTGCGAATTGTGCTCCTAACAGTCACAGCACTTGCAGTGCTGTTGCAAAGGAAAGAAGAAATAGTTAACAATCACAAAAAGTGAAACTTGGTGTTATTGCTAAGAGAAAAAAAGGAATTATTTGACAACAAAAGGGAAAACTATAACCACATTCAAAGAGTAATTACTTCAATGTATATGCGCCGCCAGCTTTTACTTTGCCACAATCTTTGCAGCCCCATATCCCCACTGCCTTTCTCTTCACAGCATACTGAACATAAAAATAAGAATCCGGTAAGCACAATGAGCACAATTATAAAGCAGACTAATGCTCTGTAAAGAACAGAAATGCAGAATTGCGGCACAAATATGGTAAATATCACATTCCTAAACCAGAAAACCATACCTTTCCACAAAACTCACAGAAGTACTTGCTATGCTGGCTAACCTCCATCTTCTTAATCTGCTTCCGCAGACTAGCACCATAACGGGTGCCTGAAAATAGAGAGGAAATCAAGTCAGGGAGGACAACTTTATCAAGAATTAAAAGCACATAAAATTTCAACTTCAGAAGACATGCTAATCATCTTACATCACAGGAGATGTAAAAAACTATAGCATTTCGTAAAAGTTCTCATCATTTTAGCCACAAGAAAATGGGAAACTAAAACAAGTTCAGAAGAGCACAAGTGGTCCTTAAATTTACCAAACGGGCCCAACAGCTATAGAATCAGAAGCATAAACAGTCAAGCATAGCCCTTAATAAAGTTACACTTAGAAATGCATGAATCTTCATAAAGGCAAAGGTGACCATAAGAAGGAAAAAAAGAGGTAATAAGTAACCATATACATACCATACTTCCCAACTATTCCAGCCTTCTTTGTCCTCTTAGTCTGCAGCAAAGATAGTATATCGACTTCAAAATTTGGCTTTGAAATGGATAACTTTGAAAAGAGCTTAACTGAACAGAGTTCTATCTACACTGGCTCAACAAGGTCTAGATCTAGGTCTTCCATCCAGTTGTAACCATAGTGAATCCATAAAAACTACAGGGTAGCTGGCCTCTATGTCAGTTTTTTTTTAATAAGGTAATTAGGATATCATTAATAGGCATCAAGAAGATGCAGAGATTACAAAAGAAGGGAGATGTCAGCTCTAATACAAAAAAAGATATCATAAGACTAAGGAGCTGACAAAATCCAAAAACATATCAGAATTATTTACCAGGGAAAGATTCACCCAACTGAAAAGATTAACCAAACATTTAGCATGTATGTCAGTTTTTCAATCATAAACAAGTTGCTAAACTGGATAATTGACCTCCCACAATCCAAGCCATCTAACAGCTGCCTCAATTGGATATTTGGATATACTATTTGAGAAGACATGGTAATAATGTAAAAGAATCGATATCTTGCACATGTTACTGTTTACAGTATCTCAATACATTCTTCAGCCTGACACTGCTAGTGCTATATGAAACATATTTGAAATCTCACTTCGCTTAGCAAAGACCCAATAAAATATTACACCTTATAAATGAGGATCTCGTTTTATTTTGTGAAATAATAGTAATATGAACTGCATGTACATGGCGCTACTTGCAGTGGCTCAACTGGGCCAATATCTTGCACATGTTACTGTTTACAGTATCTCAATACATTCTTCAGCCTGACACTGCTAGTGCTATATGAAACATATTTGAAATCTCACTTCGCTTAGCAAAGACCCAATAAAATATTACACCTTATAAATGAGGATCTCGTTTTATTTTGTGAAATAATAGTAATATGAACTGCATGTACATGGCGCTACTTGCACTGGCTCAACTAGGCCAATATCTTGCACATGTTACTGTTTACAGTATCTCAATACATTCTTCAGCCTGACACTGCTAGTGCTATATGAAACATATTTGAAATCTCACTTCGCTTAGCAAAGACCCAATAAAATATTACACATTATAAATGAGGATCTCGTTTTATTTTGTGAAATAATAGTAATATGAACTGCATGTACATGGCACTACTTGCACTGGCTCAACTAGGTCAAAATCTAGTTCTTCTATCGAATTGTTGCAAAAGTGATCCATACAAAATACAGAGTAACTAGCCTCTATGTCAATATTTCAATCATAAGATAGTTGCTGAACTGCAATATCTAACCTCCCAATGCAAGCGATCTACCTGGCTGCCTCATTGGGATGTACTATTGAGAAGAAATGGCAGCAATCCAGAAGAATTGATGTCATCCACATGTTACTGTTTACAGTAAAATCATTGAAACATAATTCCAACAAAGCCATTTCACAGACGAAAGTTAAGAAATTTTTTTTGGCATACCCCAATATGTCATATTCAAAGCAGCGAACTAATTAGCTTATTGAACTCATTTCATATATATAACTGAACAATTATAATTTATTTTTTTTTAAAAAGTACATTCATACTCGTAATCATATCGACAAATTTTGTGGGCAGTGGCACTTGCAATACTAACTTAAAATCCGTCTATCCAAAAAGAACTATGAAAACCCCTCTGAACAAGCGCTCAGTAAATCATAACACAACGATACTCGCTCAAAATAAGGGCGGAAAAGCCACAAAAAGAAATGAACATCAAATGTGTGCATAAATTATAGTTGCATAAACACCAAAAATTCATGCATAATACAAAAATAGCGTACCATATTCGCTGTGAATGGAGATCCCCGGATTTGAGAGAGGGAGCAGCTGTTGCTGAAAGGCGATATAACAGAAGAAAACCCTAGCTTTCCCTTTCGTTCGCCATTTTATACCTTCAGATAGTAATCAGTTTCGCACTTTCGCTAGACAAACTGTGGATCGGGCAAGGATTGGCCCATTTGGGTGATGTTCAGACTGATCCAAATCATTTTGGGCCTCCGAGCATATAAAGGGTGATTTGCTAGAATGGCCTTCGAAGTAGATGATGATCTTGATTTTTTACGGCATGGTATAACAACATACTCATATAATTGGCAGAAAATAGCCCTAGTTATAGATATTGGCATNCTCTTCTTTGTGTATATCAAAAATTAATTTTCTTTGTATGCCAAAATATTATTTACTCCCGCAATTATATTTATTATTTTTATATTTTAGAACTTGCTCAAACATGCTATATAAAAAATATCCTTTTTGATCAATAATTAATAATTATATTATTTGTATATCACAGTATATAACATAATAATAATGTGTATATCAAAACAAATTATTAAAATTTTATTTTTCTTCTTTATATAACACATTTCAAATTAAAAACTCAAGTTCAAGACGACTCCACATGTGTATCCCCTATTGTAACCCGTGTATATCTCTAAGTACATCAATGATATCTCATGTATATTATGTGTGTATGTTTATATCCATGAAAATTTGTGTTATATATATGATATACAATGTGATATACACAGACGTCAATAAATAAATTGTGTTGTATACATCATATACAAAGTGATATACACAGACATCCTAAAAACTTGTGTGTGATATACACTGATGTACACGATATACAACGTGATATACACATGTCGCAATTGGATTTTTAAGTCTGATTTTTTTACGTGAAACCAATCTAAATCACTTCTAATCTTGCTCAAATTTTGGATATAGCCTTGTTTAGGCATTTTCAACCAATTTCAATCACACAAACTCATTCAATCCAAACAAACAAAAAAAGGAAGAGAGAAGAAAAACGAAGTTGAAATATATTTTTTTCTCTCTTAGTTTTTACTAATCTTGCTCAAATTTTATATATAGCCTCGTTTAGATATTTTCAACTAATTTCAGTCACACTCACTCATTCAATCCAACCAAAAAAAAGAATAGAGAAGAAAAACAAAGTTGAAATATATTTTTTCTCTCTTAGTTTTTGCTTCTGATTTTCTCTGATGTGAGATCAACCTTACCTTTTTATCCCACTGATTTTTTTGCATAATTTGCAAGAAATTTTGCTAAACTATGAGAGAAAAGAGAAGAGATAGAAGAAGGAATACAAGGAGAGAAAAGGGGTGGGAAGTCAAAATAAGCGTGTAGGATTTTTTTGAGAAAGAATATAAAAGAGAGTAGTTTTTTTAAGATTTGGCTATATAATACTAATTATTTGGGGCTATCTTTGCCAAACCTAATATAAGGCTAAAAAAAATTACCAATTCATGTTATGTGTTGTTATAGGATACCAATTTTTCTTTTTTTACCATGCTTGTCCCACGTGCAGAACTTTAATTTTAACAATTATTTCCTCTTGCTTGCCCATCTTGCTTGTCCTATGGGCAACACTTTTGAATTTTAAAAAAGTTTGCTCATGAGGCAAGTGCGGGTTAAAAAAATCAAGATCATCCATTTTCAAGGTGATTAGATTTAATTTTCTGAGCATATAATTATATTTTTGGGCCGCCCGAAAAAATAATAGCCGATAGTTGTATATGTTTTGTACATTAAGTATAAATATACATATAATGTATATAAATGTATCTATAACATACATATTATATACATTATCAATGTATATATTTTGTATATTTGGGCTACCCCTTATGATTATTTTGGTCCATCAGGCCAAAATAAAAATTCCAATCTTTTAATTATTTATGTATAAATTTCTTTCTTGAAAATTACGATTTTGACTGTGGAATGAAATTTTTGTAATTGGTAAAATTCTTTCCACATGATAGCAACTTCGTCACTTGCTGTGTAGATATTATGAGTTTTAATGTATTTCATATGTTCTATGTTTAATGAAGATTCCAAGTATTTTTCTAGCCGGAGCTTACATCCAAAGTTCATACATAAACTTAAAAATGTGTATTTTCAATGAGAAAAGATTTTCTAAAGAGTTTCTTGTCACTTAATCTCAACAACAGAAAATCCTTTGCTACGGTACTCTATTTTATAGTTTTTCACCTGCAGAAACCATACGCATACAATACGCAAAATTAGAAGGTAAATTTCACAAATCGTGTCTAAACTAATAATTTATCGCACTGTACCTAAACACTATCTTCATATAACAGAAAGTACAAGTCCATATTTTTGTTACTAATAAAAGATAATTTTTAATAGAGAAAATTACATCCTAATACAGCCCACCAACATACATTACAATCGGATGACCCATATACAACTTTGTAAAGCTATAGCCCAAAAATAATAGGCTTCAACATCCACCTCTAAATGGGTTCTCGAAACTGCTATTTTATTTTTTTAAAGCTCAAACTTCTAACGCAATCCCTGAATCAGTAATTGTGACTCAAACATTCGTCCGACAAATCAAATTCATTTGGATGGTTTAAGGTATTTTTTGAGAAATTTAGAGTTACTGTTATTTAGACTTGTTAGAAATAGTTGAAGGAGGTTGTCTACCAACGTGAAGTTATTTAATGGAGATTTGGACTAATTTTGAACAAGAATTACAATTGCAAATTGTGGAAGATAAAGATGAACAAATATATTTGCAATACACTATGTGTATAGGCGTAAGAAGAAGAAGAAGAAGAAGAAGAAGAAGATTCATGGGTCGTTTCGCAATCGAGCTACCCACCTACATCAATATTTCTAACTTTTAAATCTCTGTATGAATTTTGAACAAAAATTACAATTGCAAATCGTAAAGATGTTCGTCTAGAGACGCGCATGTCCTTTAGATGTGTTGTGTTATATATATATATATATNAATGGTCATCCTAATTAATTACACCTACCATTGTTCTATGACAAAAATGATAAGATAGATGGCAACAATGGTTCTGATTGAGTAGTAAGTATTTCTTCATATTTAATTAGAGGTTTCAGATTCAAGCCTTGTATAGAGAAACTTTTGTTGGGAAGCGCTTTACTTCAATGTAAAACTTTCCGTCATGAATTCGAATTTCATTGGATTCCAATGCGAATATTGGACACGGAATGAGGAACCCCCAAAAAATTGATAAAGTAGACCATGTTAGTATTCTTTGTAGATTGAATTTGTGGCAAAAGATATTTTAAATATGTTTTTAATATGAATTTCTAGAAATCATTTAAATTTAATCTTGGTTAAGGTTCAAATTTTCTTTTTCCAACAATAATTTCCTAGAGACGCACACATGGTTGTACAATATTGCTTTTGGAGGCATAATATGAATTTGCTTTATCTCTATTCTTTTCTCCTTTCTCCTTTCTCCTTCTCTAGTCTTTCTTTATTTGTACCATGTTACGTTGGGGGCATCTCATCATTTGGATAAATGACAAATTTATTTCATAGAATAATAGTAAGATCGCGTCTCTGTCATTTTGATGACGGGTAAGATACCTGTCATTCGTCGAAAATATTGTGAACTTTTTGAGTTTTGTTCCATTCTCCAATCTTGTTCTTCACTACTTGTAATGTTCCTTAAAAGATGGAAACAATTTATTTTTTTTGTGGTTTTTTCGAATCAGTATGTTTGTCATCATTATAACGTCATCACTACTCATCTTTTATTAACGAGTTTATTTATGCCCTCAAACTTATACTAACACTCTACTAACCACGAATTTTGGACAGCCTATGAGCAATTTAAAAACAACAACAACATATATATACTATAATAAAACCAGAGGTATAATGCTGCCGCACAACGACACAAATAAATGACAAAGTACGAGAAGGGGGACTAAGATTCTAATATAAAGTTTTAGAGCAAACCTGTGCAAGATAACAACTTTTAATTAATTTGTTCAACTTGCAGTTTTAAATTCATATACATCACGAGTCATACTTCACTTATTGGTGGTCAAAATTTAGTTTGTTCATTTCCAAAGGGATCTTTTCTTCCTAATATTTGTGCAGTTTTTCTAGGCTCCTACGTTTACAAATACTACTGTAGCTATTTAAGTAGTCAGGGAAAGACTAACAAGAAATGTCACTATATTGTTTGAGGGTTTTGAAAAAATGGGGGTTTTATCAAGATTGCACAAGCTTTGCCTTCCTGGTCAAGCCTTCACTCCCAGTCCTATACCTTTGGTGTTTTTATACTCCAAACAGCAAGTAGATACAATATTCCCAAATGGACCTAAACAACAACTATCTAAATTTCTAGAGATCTCTTTGTCAAAAACATTAACTTGTTACTATCCATGGGCAGGACGTCTAAAAGATAATGCCACTGTAGAATGCAATGATGTTGGAGCCGAGTACTTTGAAGTTCAAATTAATTCTCCAATGGATGAAGTTGTTCATCACTCAGATTCAAGAATCAAGGATATGGTCACATTTCCTCAAGGTGCAACGTGGGGAAATTGTACAGATCGTGCTTTAGCTATAGCACAACTCATCCATTTCGAGTGCGGAGAAATAGCAATCAGTGTCTGCTTATCACACAAGGTGGGAGATGGATGCAGTTGCTACTGGTTTTTAAGGGATGGGGCCTCATTAACACGAGGTCCAAACGCGAAAATCACATCTACTCCATACTTTGTTGAGGATTCTGTAATACCGTCACCACTGCCTGATGGTCCTCTTGTTTCCCCAGTGAGTAAAAAAAAGCAAGAATATATAGAAAAGACTTTTGATTTCTCTATTAAAAAAAATCAGTTGGTCCAATACACAAATATTTGAAAAAGTGTTTCACCTCCATTGGGAATCTTCTAACAGTCTGGCATGTCGACACTACTATACAATAGTAGTAGAGAAGGAGACTTCAATTTGTCAAAAGTAGTTGCTGATATAAGAAACTCAAAACAGAAGCTCTTGAGCAGAGATAATTAATATCAAAGAAAATGAGTGGGCTTCAGAGATACTAAATGCATATAAAAAAGGAAAGGGGCCTATGCCAGTTCCCGTTCTAAGATCAAGATTTTGTATGGGGGAAGCCAAGTAGAGCACGCTTAGGAGGTCATTTCGTAGGCAAGTAGTTTTCCTTGATAAGTACCTATAATGGACGAATACAAGCCTCCGTCCACTTAAATAAACAAAAAATGCATGTCTTTGAGAATGATGAGCACCTTCTCCGGTTTGCTGCTCCTACTGGTCAGGATGTTGTTCTGGAGAAGCACTACTAATATGACTTCATCGGATATTAAAGGGACGGATGCTTCTGATTCATGTCTCTTTTCTTTTTCAAATAACTGTTAGAGACTGCTTTAGTCAGTTTCCTTTCTAGATGTTTCTTTCTTTTTGTGTTGTTTTTTTCTTGTAGAACATAATTACTGGTAGTCTTGATGGTTGTTTCCAGTCACCATTGTGTTCTCATAATTACACCCTTCTACGTACACTAAAAGGGGAAACAATCGATCGATTGTTGGTCGATAATTGACAAAAATCGACCAAAAAATGACTGATTCGTGATGGTCGATAGATATTAATTTGAGTGCCCATATGAATTACTAAGAAATTGGTTCTTTACCGTGTTTCTTAAGCGAAAAGTAAACAAGCAATAAAATGAACACAGTGATTTTTACTTGGAAAATCACCCGTCTCAAAGGTGCAAAAACTACGACCTACCAAGTAGGATTTTCAAGCTCCAACTCCACTAGAACAATGAGCCAAAATGTATCAATTACAATATTGTAATTAAATACTGTCAAGTACTCCTACTACTCCTATTTGATTCACAAGTAACTCTAACTTGTAAAACCAAACACTCAGTCCAACTCACTAATTCTTTATAACACTTGATTACAACTCAATTTCCTAAAACACATTTACTTGACTAACTCGAGAAGAGTACAAGACAAGTACTCAACACAAGTGAACTACTTTATGAGTGTTGTTGATATGTAAAAGGATAGTTCAGAAGTCCAAACTCAATCCTATTTAAACACGACTTGAGATCTTCTAGGAGTCTTATTCATAATCAACTTCCTCTTTGATAGTACTCCTACTGTTCTAAGGATTCCACAAGCTTTGGGACTTTTATCTCTGACAGACTTATCCATATCTTCTTGAGCAACGACCTTTATTACTTACAACAACCATCTTCCACCAAACTCGAACCTGGTAACTTTGAGATAAAGTTACAATGTCTTGTACAAACGTATAAGTATCAATCATGAGGAGTTAATCCTTTAACTTGAGAAACTAGTTCTTCACCCAGTTAAACAACTACATTGAGTACCTGGTTATTTGAATAATTAGTCACATTTTGTTAATCATCAAAACATCAATACTCAACAAATTCCCCCTTTTTGATGACAAATAATGTACCCAGAATCATCAATCAAAGAACCAAATGATCACACAAAATACATGTATTTCCCCACCTTATCTTCCCCCTTTTGGCATCATTGAAAAAATACAAACAAATGTTAGACAGTAAGCACAAGAGTGCAAATCAGTAAAGTAAGCTGATGATCCAAAAGAGTGCAAATCAGTAAAGTAAAGGAATGAGAGACAATAAGTAGTGCCAAAAAAATCCCATGGACTTATCTTCATCATTAGAACACAATAAACTAAGCATACTGCAGACAGCTCAGACTAAGAAAGAAAAAGAACAAAAGATAAGACATCACTAAAAAGGCAAACGAACTAAGGACGCCGGGAATGAACATGCTCAAGGGTTAGAGGCAGAGGGAGTCAAGGCTTTCACAAGAGTAGCAATCTGTTGAGCATGGGCCTCCCTATCTCTTCGGAGCTCTTCCCTGATTTGCTTAGTTTTTGTCTCAGTTCATTACTGTATTCACGAAGCTTGGCATTCTCTTCAATAACCAGCTCCAACCTCTTGCTGAATTCTGCAACCCTACTGCTCCGAGGAAGAATGGCAGATCCTGTGGGTCCTCTAGCCTTGATCTACTCATAGCCACAATGCTTGAGGGTAACAATATCTAAAACATCATTGTGGTTTCCAAACTTAAGTTGTGGTAAGGCAATGTTGAGCTTGTCAAATAACTTAGTTAACATGAAACCATATGGCATAGCATGCTTTGGTTTGGAGGTATCTACAGCTCTTGTCATGTGCTGAATCATCAGGCTAGGGAGATTGATAGGTCGACTAGTGTTAAGCAGTTCCATCACAGCCATGTCTAGTAGACTACTCTCACACCTTCTCTCAGATCTCTGAAGAATGCATGAGTTTACTAATTGAAACAATAGCTTATGAAAGGGGTCATATCAGTCTTGTACATTTTCTGGGGAGCATCTAGTTCAAACTTTTTGGAGAACTTCCTAGTGACCTAAATGCCAGTGTCAACATCATTGTCTATGGTTGGCCACTTCTTCTTCAAATAATTATCAAATCCTAAAGAAGGGATATTCAAAAGTATTTTGAGTTCCTCAGCATCAAACTCCATGTCGAAACCCCCTACTTTACTATTGACTACCTTCCCATCAAAACTGAAATTTGTGTAGAATTCCACCACAGCAGAAACACATACTGTGGGTAAAGCTTTGACAAACATGTGTTTCTACCCCATGTAGCTCAAGTTTCTCTACCAGTTGAGCCATTCCCTTCTCATCAGTGTTTGCAAGAATCTTCTCATTTAGTATTTTTTTGTTCCTAAACTCTGTGAGTTGATCAACTGCAACTGAAATATTCTTTTTTGTCATACCCCTACTAGCCCTTGCAGAAGAGGTAGCAGGTTTGGTGACTCCCCTTTTCTTTGGTGATACAGATTCATCTTCTCAATCTACCTCAACAACAGGTTCCACAATTGAAACCTTCTTCTTTGGCTTCTTTGCACTTTTGGACTACTTCATGATTTGTGCATCAACAACTTTCTTTTACTCCTTGTGAGAGGAGTTCTAGCAGGAGGAACCACTTCTTTCCTTGTTGAAACTATTGTCTTTGTAGCTTTCTCAGTGGTCTTTCTGAGCTTCTTCCCTACCTCAGATAGTGGTACATCATCTTCATCACTGCTAACTTCTTTATCTCCAGTGAAGGGAGCCAACAGAGACCCAAGTTCTTGAGCCCTCGTCTCCTCACCAATTTCTTCTGAAGGGGATATGACAGTGTTTCCAATTGGCATAGAGCCTTTTCACTCACATTCCCTTCTTCTTCCTCACTCTCATCATTACCTTCGTCACTCTCACCTACCTTTTCTTGATCCTCTCCCTCACTTTCAGAAACCTTATTTTCTTCACTCTGATTTTCTTCTTTTGCAGAATTATTAGCATGTTCACCTATCTTATATATATATATCACTCTCCTTCTTATCTCCAGATACTCCCTCATTCTTACTCTTTCCTTCTTTATTGACTATGTTTTGTGCTTCATGTTCCTCATGACTGGTCACTACTTCTTCTTCCTTCTCACCTTCATCATCTTCCCCATCCTCAGTCTAGCTAAAATTAAGGCTATCAGACGCCTCCTTTTGTACTGGTACTTTACATCCTCCCCCTTCAACCACAGGCTCCACAACCGCTATATCTACCTCCTTTCCCAAGCCCCATGTATGTTCTTCTACTATGAATATCTCTTTTGGTGACTTCTTACTCGTAGGTGGAAGAGTGTCTAGGGGTGCAACATCAATAGCAGAAGCCAAAATATTTAACTTGGAAGCAGAATGTGATACCTTATCAGTAGTGTCTATACCCGATTCCCCCTAAATCATAGATTCCTTGACTCCAGAGTCACTTTGCGTAGCAGTCTCAGGCACTTTCTTGACAGATTTTCTTGAAGTTGCTTTGACCTTTGCTGTCCTAGAGATATTTTTCGTAGGAATCTCAGGTGCATGGGTAGTGGATTTTGAAGGAGGAGGTGCAGTGGAGATGGGAATAACAGGATTAGCAGTAGTAGGAGCAGGGGAGGATGATGTAGGTATGGTGGAGGATATTGATGGAGAAGGAACTGGTGTGGATATGGGTTCTCTTGAAGGCTTGACATTTTTCTTTGATTTGGGCTTCAAGATTTTGGGTTTTGCTTCACCCATGGTTGATGATTTAGCTTTAGAGGGTGTTTGACTGTCTTTAAGCATGGTGATCAGATGAGAACCTCGAAGAAGAGAATGGAAGGGTTAGTTCTTGATACTTGCTTTCGATTTTTGCTTAGGGTTTGACAGGAACAGTGAGGTTAGAGAAGTTGATCATAAGGGCCTTTTAAAGGTGTTACTCCTGATTTGACTGGAAGGGAGAATGTGACTGAGTTTGAGTTCTAACGAGACTCTGATAATGGTTACTTTGATTGTAAGGTTTTAAGGAGTAATTGATCTCTAATTACATAAGGATTCCCCCTTACTCTTTGACTAGAAGAGGACTAGAAGTGATGCCAACTGAAATAAAAGTGTGAGTATAGCAGTAATTTAAGAGTACAAGTTCTGGTGACTTAAGACAGTCTGGCACATACCTGAGTCAAAGAACCTAATTCCTTATTCGTTTCTGCAATAAAACTTCAACACTTCATATTAGTATCATGCAACACAGTTATCAGCCATACTTTCTATGCGAGTGTGTGAGCTTAATACAAGCACAAAGCTAAATCAAACATATTGTACTTAAATATCTACGTCTTATTATGTTTTTTTCTAACCAATCACTGGAGTCAACTTAGTGGGAGGAGTTGATTAGACCTACTTCTAGTCTATTCCTTTCAAAGTGATCCATACTTAGAGCTTTAGTAAAAATATCAGCAATTTGATTTTCAATTTTACAGAAGTTAATTGAGATATTTCCTTTTTCAACATTGTCTCTGAGAAAGTGCTATTTAATGTCAATGTGCTTGGTTCTTTTATGCTGACATGGATTTTTTGTAATGTTTATGGCACTGGTGTTATTACAGAAAATGGGAACACAATCAACAAATATACCATAATCCCTTAGCTGTTGTCTTATCCATAGTAACTGAGTACAACAGGATGCTGCTGCCACATATTAAGCCTCAGTTGCATATAATGCCATTGAGTTTTGCTTCTTGATTCCCCAAGACACGAGACAAGAACCTAGAAAATGTGTTATTTTTGAAGTGCTTTTCTTGTCAACATGAAAACCTGCATAGTCAGCATCAGCATAACCAACTAGATCAAAGTTGTACCCTCGGGGATACCATAGATAGAGGGCAGGGGTCATTTTGAGATATCTTAGTATTCTTTTGACAACTTTCGAGTGGGATTCCTTGTGATTTGCCTGAAATCTTGCACATAATCCCACACTAAATACTATATCAGGCATGCTTGTTGTGAGGTACAATAGTGACCCATTATTCCTCTATATAGCTTTTGTTTCACATTTTCCCTTCTTCATCAAGGTCCAGCTTTGTTGCAATGACAATGGGGTATCAATAGACTTGAAGGAGTGCATGTTGAATTTCCTGAGTATCTCTTTGATATATTTCTGCTGATGTATTGTATCATGGTTCCAGTAGATGTTTTCTTGATTTGTAGCATC